AAATTGAGGATTGCGGATCAGTGAAACTCGAACACTGAGTAAAGACGTCATTTGATCCAGTTGTTCTTTGTTCTTGACTGTCTGTTTCAGGTCGGATGTCCCGTTCTTCCTCCTGCAATGGGACTCCGAAGACAGGAACGGAAGAAAATCAACAATCAACAGGAGAAGATTGCCCCCTATAATTTGTTTTTGCTTGTGGAAAGAGCTGTTGTAAGCTGCTGTTCTCGGTTTTAAAGGCCCTCCCTGTTGGTGTCCATCGGATTCTGTGACTCTGCATCACTGTCGGTCCTAAAGAAGCCCCATCCTTGATCTTAACACTCTCAGTTTCTTTGATTGCAAATACTAGAGCCAGCTCCCTCTTGGTCGTCTCTGCCCTTGAGTCAAAGACTCTCAGTTCTCCCACCCCCATTAACAGTGAAAATAATTTCTGCAAGCCTAGAAATATACCGAGGCAGAGCAGTGGTTCTGTGGCTCAGGATCTGTGCCCGGGGCTGAAAGGGTTTGCCGGTACAAATCCTGCAGCCGGCAGAGGAATCCTACTTCATTGGGGCTCCTGAGCAAGGCCCTGAACCCCAACTGCTCCAGGGCCGCTGTACAATAGCTGACCCTGTGCTCTGACCCCCAGCTTCTCTCTCTCCCAGTCTGTGTGTCTCACACAGAGCCAGCAGGGGTCTGCGACAAGACCAATTCCTCATGCAAGAAACTGTATAGGGCCAATGAAGTGATGTTATGTTATGTTTTTATGTGGACACATCCAGGGCAACTGCAACTGCACTGTATGCACTGTGTGTTTTTTGCAATGCTCCCACCAAACTTGCTCACAATATTCTTGAAAAGTGTCTGACTATGTCACCATTTTCGATTGAACTATCTTGCTTAACATGCTGCCTTTTACTCATCTCCCTACACTGTTTGTGACAGGAAATGAAACTGGTCCCGGAACGAAAAATAAACTCCGATACGGCTTAAGTGTCATTTGGTATCGCCCGTTTCTAAGCACTGGGGACACCTGTGGGTCATTTAATTCCATTAAGAGAACCCTGACGCTCGTGATCTGTCTGCAGCTCAGATATTGGCCCTATATGATGTAGAATTAACTTAGTATCACGCTAGAACTGAAACTGCTGATACAGTAGTGACCTGTGAAACCCTTTGACTCGTAAGGACCAGGGTTGGAGACTGAGATAAATGGCATAAATCCTTTTAATATGTAGCTTCTTAAAGCTCAGTGCTTCTCATCCTGTAGTTACAGTTAATGGCTTCTCTATACTAATAATTCTCTATAATAATTATATTATATATCTCTATAAAAGCTATATAATCGCTTACACTTATATAGCGCTTTTCTGGACACCCCACTCAAAGCACTTTACAGGTCATGGGGAATCCCACTACCGCCACCAATGTGCAGCCCCCACCTGGATAATGTGACGGCAGCCATAGTGCGCCAGAACGCTCCCCACACACCAGCTCTCAGTGGGGAGGAGAGCAGAGGGATGAAGCCAGTTCAGAGAGGGGGATTATTAGGAGGCCATGATGGGTAAGGGCCAATGGGAAATTTGGCCAGGACGCCGGGGTTACACCCCTACTCTTTTCGAGAAACGCCCTGGGATTTTTAATGACCACACAGAGAGTCAGGACCTCGGTTTTATGTCTCATCCGAAGGACGGCGCCTGTTTACAGTATAGTGTCCCCGTCACTATACTGAGGCATTAGGACCCACATGGACCTCAGGGTGAACGCCCCCTGCTGGCCCAACTAACGCCTCTACCTGCATGTAGCATTATACTCTAGTCTACCATATGCGTCAGTCTTTAATTTTGTCTTGACAAATTAAACAAACACAAAAAACTAGTTAATTATGACGTAAAGCAGAAAAAAGGAGAGGTTTTAGTACAGGCCACTGTGGTACCCCACTAATTACACCATTGTTATCGTCACCCTGTAAAGCGCTTTGAGAAGCCACCTTTACAGGTTTATTATTATTATTTATATTATAACGTTACTGTTCCCAAAGATGACGCTTTCATCTCAACACCATGAATGCTATCAAAAACCGTCGGTCAATAATTTGTTGATCCCCCACAGTTTTTTCATCGAAAGAGCTCAGGTGTTCTGTGATAAAAAAAAAAAAGATATGGAAGACCTTCATTACTCTGTGTCCAAGGAATAACTCTCCTTTCCCTACTTCGTATACAACTATTTCACCAAACAGTTCATAAAAGCAATAGAAATGACAAATCTCATGGTTTAGGATTACAAAAAAAATGTTTTATCTTTTTTTTAGCCCTTTCTGTAGTTCAGCAAAATTCTGATTCCAAGCTGACAAATGTAAAAAGATAGTGTGGTAGTGTATTAATACTGTGGCACTAACTTCTCTGGCTGAGGAGATGATACACCTGGCCAAAGAGCACGGACTCACAGACCTCCAGTCCGACACAGGCTCCTTGGCTCTCCATTGTTTTTCACCAAAACAGCAGGACCTAGACACACTCGGTATTTGACTAATATAGTCTGGCCAGGGAACAAAGCCGATTCCAGTTCTCTTGATCCACAGCATAGTTTTTCTAGGAAGCCATCTGGGGAATCTACGAAGACAAACCAGACCCAAGAGTCTAAACTCCTCGAAATGACCCTCCCCTCCCGCCCCCTAGTGGCGGTTTTGTGAAATGCGCAGATCAGAGACAATGGGTGTCATAATAGAGGAGCTGTAGCTCCCTAAACTGGTCGATACATTTTTTTTGCAAGCGGCCACGCACAGACAAATGGTTTTAACGAGGAAGCCGCCGGCAGTCGTCATGTTAATACAAACGTTTGGGCTCTTACTGCGGCAGGGAAGTGTCTTAAATACTGAACAAATCTCAAAAGCTCACAGCAGTGAGCCGAAGGTGAGGGAAATTCAACTTGTCTTCCATCATTCACTATTACTGTACTCACTATTACTATTACTATTCGACTACTATTGGACTGTAGCCTGAGCAGATAATTGCAGGTTGCACACACACACAC